CCCCCCCCCCCGCCCGGTGCTGCCGGGAAGGGGCAGAGGGGACAGGGCAGGGTTTTTTCCCCCGGTGCTCTGCCGGTGTTGGAGACCCCCTCTGCCCTCTCCAGGACTGCTTCTTCCCAACTCACTGTTGATGTTCGAGCGTTGATGTTCCTCCACCTTCACCAACGAGAGGGGGGAGGTGATCATGGGCCGCTCACCGCCGCTTCCCCCATCCAAAATTTTCCCGGCGTCACCGTGAGCCAATTCTCCCGCCAATCCTTTGCTCAGAAAGGTCACGCCGCCAGCTTGAAGGCTGAGCGGCATCCGTCGAGCGCCGCCGTCGTGATCCCGGGCGTGGGAAGAGTTTCGGAATTTCTTGGTGAAGGGTCGTCCGCCTTGGATGTAGCTACGGTAAGCGCCGGCTTTTTGGGGTCGGTGTCGGATCCACTCGCTGAGGGTCTCGATGGGCGAACCGTTGACGCACCATTCGGTGACGCCGAATTGCCGGAGATGCGCCCGCGCGTGGCTGGCCAAGGCTTTGCGGTTTTCGAAGTAGAGGCCGCACAGCTCGCAGCAAGCTTCGCTGGCTGGGGAGGGCAGGAGGTGAAAACAAACAAACAAAAACAACAACCCACCAAACAAAAAAAAACCGCAACAAAAAACGCACCAAGAGGGGAGCGGGCAAAGGCAGGGACGCGCTACGGAGCCGGTTTCATCCCAACGCCGGCTGCCTGCCGGCTCCATGCCGGGGCAGATCTTCCATGGGATGGAAATTCCCTAGGTTTTCCCACTCTGGGTGCATCCCCCCACCCCGCTGCAGTGTAGGAAAGGCTTCAGCAGAGCCAAGACTAATTTTTGGATTAAGGGAAAGAAATCTCCACTCCTCCCTGCTCCCTAGGAGGTGAAACTCCTTCCCAGCCCAGGGTTTGGAGGTTCCCCGTGGGCACCCCACCGTGTGACAAACAGCCCCCAAGGGGGCTACATGGGGTGTTTTTACGCCCCCCCTTCCCATCCTCTCTCCCTGACTTACACGTGTGTGCCGGTTTGTCGTGCACAGACTTGGTTTTGAAGGGCAGCTCGGTTTGGATGTACGCCTTGTGCTTGACTTCGGCATGAGGACCCAAGCGATCGTCCTGTAACGGTCGTTTGGTGGATAACGGCGTCAGGAAACCACCCTGGGGTTTGCTGCTGAGAGGTGACAACGAGATCTCCCGGTTCCAGGTGGAACTGCCGGGGTTGGGTTTCCCCGTCCGCCCGCCCAGGGGAGGCAGGGCCATGCCCTGAAGGATTTTTCCAGCACCCTTGGGGTCCGTCCCTTCCTCCCCGATAGATTTTGGGGGTTCAATGCTGGAGGTGTGGGGTTCCTTCTTGATAACGCAGGGTTTGGTTTTCTTCTTGAGGATCTCCCGTAACGTGTCGATGGGCGAACCGTTGACCGACCACTCGGTCACCCCCATCTGTCGGAGGTGAGATCGAGCGTGGCTCGACAAACCTTTGCGATTTTCGAAATATTCGCCGCAAAACTCGCAGCGGATGTCTCGCACCGGGTCCGCTCGGGAGGCTGCAGAGAGAGATACGGGGGTCAGGACTGTGATTAAACACACACACACCCCCCCTCAACCCATGCTCCAGCTCCTCCCTGGCGGCAATGAGGGGTTCCCCAACACCACGGCCCACAGCAGACGATGTGGATCCGCGAGCAGATCCTCTCACCCGGTGCTGGATCACCAGGAAGAACCCTCATCCCCGC